ATAAAGCCTTAAAGTTAAAAGTAGAAGGAATAATAGAATTGTTTAAAGCTGTCAGTAGAACATTTGGTAGAGTCCAAATTTAACTTATAGAAACTTTAGCAAAAAAAAAAAAAAAAAAGTCCCACAGACCTACTTCATATATGTCAGGATTCCAGGCAGCATCTACCCATTCTAGGTGAAGACCAGAAACTAGAGAAAAGAGTGATAGTGTCCAAAGGCTAGCTTGATTAAAATTGTATTATTAACTTCTTATTCCAGAGTACATGAAATAGCTCACATTATGTAGAATACAGTCAGTTAAATTATATTCAGTTTAGGCTAGAAGAAGTTTAGGCTAGAATTAAACAAAGATATGGACATGTATATGACACAAGAATCAGGCCACGAGTCCTAGCCAGTCTGGGCAGCTGTAAATGAAGTGCCAACGACTAGAAGGCTACGGACAACGGAAATGCATTTCCCACAGTTCTAGAGGCTGGGCGCCCAAGACCAGGGAGCCAGCATTGTCGGCTTGGGTGGCTCTCCGGATGGGTTGCATTCTGCTGACTTCTTACGTCCGCGCATGGCGGAACTATGGCAATGAAGTGCTACTGGATCTCTTTCATAACAGCACTAATCCCATTCGGGAGGGCTCTACCTTCGTGGACTAATTACCTCCTGAAAAAAATCTCACCTCCAGATATCATCACACTAGGAGTTAAGGTTGCAACATGCAAATTTTGGAGGGACACACACACTTAGTCATACATTCTGTCTCCGGCCCTTACAAGTTTATGTTCTTTTCACAGACCATCCTTAAATTCTTTGCTTAGAACTCTCATCAGCTGAATATCCACGTTCATCACTCACAATTTCTGCCTCCCACAGCATACCAGAACATTACTGAGCCGGTGCTTTGCCACTGTAACACATGCCACCTTTCATCCAGCATCCAATAATAGGTTCCTCATTTCTGTCTCAGACCTCAGCAGAATCACCTTTCATCTCTGTATTTTGGCTAACAATCTCTTTAAGACAACTTGGGTTTCTTTACACATTCACCTCAAAACTCTCTCAGCCTCTACCCACTATCTGGTTCTAAAGCCTCTTGCACATTTTTAAGTCTTTGCTACAGCAGTGCCCACTTCTCAGTGCTACTACTTATATTAGTTTGCTGGGGCTGCTGGAACAGAATCCCACAGACTGGCTGACTCAAATAGAAAATGATTTTCTTACAACTCTGGAAGCTGAGAATCCAAGAGCAAGGTGGTGGCAGAGTTGGCTTCCTCTGGGGCCTCCTCATGGCTTGCAGATGGCTGCCCTCTTGCCTCCCGGCTGGTCTTTCTCCGTGTACATTCCTGACATGCCCCTGCACGTCCTAACCCCCTCTTCTGTTAGAGACACCAGTCAGACTCGAATAGGGCCCACACTAATGGTCTCATTTTAACTGAATTATCTCTTCCATCTCCAAACACGGTCTCATTCTGAGATACTGAACGTTAGGGCATCAACACACGGATTTGGAGAGAACCCAGTTCGGCCTATAACATGGGAGCTTGGGGAAAATTTTTGGTGTAGATTTCTTATCACTAAAACGAATAGGGTGAGCTAATTCGTGTGTCCGCAAATCAAACAAAACAATCCCCGAGGAGAGCTCAGCTCTTCCAGAGGTTAAGACTTGGGAGGGCTCGGACTCATGAAAAAGCAGTCTGAAGGCCTGCCTTGGCAGACAGAAGCTGGGAGCAAAGGGCATTGTTCCTAGCAAACTTTCCAGAAATCACTGGGGCACGGGCGTGTTCAGGGGAGCACAAGCCAAAGAAAAACGGAATTTTAACCAGATGCGGATGTGCTAATGTTTAGCTAATGTCCTCTAAGAAGAAAGAATGGGCTAGAAGACATAGGAAAGAAATGGGCCTCAGCGAGAGGGCGGACAGAGAGGACCTCCCTAGGGAGCGGAACTTTGTGTGATTTATGTGACCCAGTGGGAGAGGGGCCAGATGTTAGAGACACAGGCTTTTCAAGGACGCTCAGAGTGGAAGCCCCCAGAGGCACTGATTGAGACCAGAGGCTCAGCTCAAATGACTGTGAGGTACCTGAGGTGGCACTTTGGCCTGTGGAGTCTGGGGCCACCGTTGAGACTGCAGGGAGACTGTGTGGCCTGTAGCTGAGGGAGTCCTTTAGGAAAATCAGGAAGAAGTACCTATTTTGTGATAGGAAAATGGTGTGTGTGTGTGTGTGTGTGTGTGTGTGTGTGTAACAGGGAGAGAGAGAGAAAAAGAGAAACTGGTTGAGTTTGGAATCATCCTTCAAATAAGAGAGTCCAGAATATTGACCGGCCGGTAACCGAGAGGCGTTGCCTTCCTCTGGGGCCTCCTCATGGCTTGCAGATGGCTGCCCTCTTGCCTCCCGGCTGGTCTTTCTCCGTGTACATTCCTGACATGCCCCTGCACGTCCTAACCCCCTCTTCTGTTAGAGACACCAGTCAGACTCGAATAGGGCCCACACTAATGGTCTCATTTTAACTGAATTATCTCTTCCATCTCCAAACACGGTCTCATTCTGAGATACTGAACGTTAGGGCATCAACACACGGATTTGGAGAGAACCCAGTTCGGCCTATAACATGGGAGCTTGGGGAAAATTTTTGGTGTAGATTTCTTATCACTAAAACGAATAGGGTGAGCTAATTCGTGTGTCCGCAAATCAAACAAAACAATCCCCGAGGAGAGCTCAGCTCTTCCAGAGGTTAAGACTTGGGAGGGCTCGGACTCATGAAAAAGCAGTCTGAAGGCCTGCCTTGGCAGACAGAAGCTGGGAGCAAAGGGCATTGTTCCTAGCAAACTTTCCAGAAATCACTGGGGCACGGGCGTGTTCAGGGGAGCACAAGCCAAAGAAAAACGGAATTTTAACCAGATGCGGATGTGCTAATGTTTAGCTAATGTCCTCTAAGAAGAAAGAATGGGCTAGAAGACATAGGAAAGAAATGGGCCTCAGCGAGAGGGCGGACAGAGAGGACCTCCCTAGGGAGCGGAACTTTGTGTGATTTATGTGACCCAGTGGGAGAGGGGCCAGATGTTAGAGACACAGGCTTTTCAAGGACGCTCAGAGTGGAAGCCCCCAGAGGCACTGATTGAGACCAGAGGCTCAGCTCAAATGACTGTGAGGTACCTGAGGTGGCACTTTGGCCTGTGGAGTCTGGGGCCACCGTTGAGACTGCAGGGAGACTGTGTGGCCTGTAGCTGAGGGAGTCCTTTAGGAAAATCAGGAAGAAGTACCTATTTTGTGATAGGAAAATGGTGTGTGTGTGTGTGTGTGTGTGTGTGTGTGTGTAACAGGGAGAGAGAGAGAAAAAGAGAAACTGGTTGAGTTTGGAATCATCCTTCAAATAAGAGAGTCCAGAATATTGACCGGCCGGTAACCGAGAGGCCGATTAATACTCCAATTTGAAATTTCTAAGTACACGGACAGAAACTGTGTTAATAGGACAGCAGGTTCAGCAATTTCAAGCATGTGGAATGTACGTCAGTTCACATTTGAGGAGTCCAAGACTCAGAGGAGTTCAGTTACTTGCTCAAGGCCTCAGAGGTGATGGTAGGATGGGCTTCCACGCAGGCCAGGTCTTCCAAGCCACACCCAGCGCTCGCTCTCCTGTGCCCGGCCATGGTTCTCCTGAGCGGACGGCCAGCAGTATCGTATCATGACAGCATGTTAGAGAGAATTGCAGCTTCTGAAAGAGAATAGCGTTCTTATCATTTATCCCTTCCCCTTCTTCTCCACCCTTTACCCACCATAATTTGTGATATTTGGTGGCAGGAGAAAGTAACCCAAATTGAGTGGCAGTTGGAGAATCGCCGTAGGGTAACTGAGCGGGCTGTGCTTCCTCACAATCAGCATTCTGGAAAATGAGTGAAACCAAACCACGCCAATATATATGTATATATTTTCCCACAGAAAGGCAAAGATAAATAAGGAGAAGCTGATTTAATTGTCTACTAAAGTAAAAATGAATAGTTTTAGGGGTCTTTTCAAGTCAGTTTTTTGTTTCCAAAAGGTGCTCATCTTCCAAGGTCTGAGGCCCAGCCATCATTACAAAAGTTCAATGTCAAATGATAAGGAGAGAATGCTAAAAGTAGACATTTTGGGGGCCAGCAAGTGACATAGTGGTTAAGGTGCTGCACTCCTACATGGCTGACCATAGTTCAAGTCCTAGATCCAGTGGTTTTAAATTCTCTCCAGCAGCATGTGCTTGAATGCCCCAAATCCCGAGAGGATAGTGGAGGAGAAAGAAAGGCAGCACGGCCATCTCTCCTCAGGGGTGAGTTCTCTGTCTCTCTCTGTGTCTGTGTTGTGTGCGCATGCCCTATAGCAAAAATCACTCTCTAAAAAAATTTTTATATATAGACATTTTTAAAAAAATTATTAGTAGAACTTATGTATTTAAACCAACGATAATAATTATCTATGCTTTAGGAGAAAAAGAAAATGCAAACTTTTAAACTATTACTTCATTTAGTCAAGGATCAGATAAAGTTATTTCCATTAAAATGATATGTAGAGATAAAGAGTAGTTAAATCATTCAGAATGTCTGACATGGAGCACAGATTAGATTAATTTTATGGAATTAGCTCCATGCTCTGCTAGTCCTTTTATATAGCTGATCTTCATACAGTCAGGGAAGGTTTTAAAAACCAGGAATGAAATTTAATATTTGCATAAAGTATGTACTGTCTTCAATATGACCACTCTCATGCACATAAATGCATATTACTACATGAATTATAAACAAAATTCTAACAACACTAAAAAAATTGGGAACGTGCATACTTCATCTCCATTATAATCATATTTTCTCTTATATTCTGCTACAAAATCATGGCAGGTTAAAGTAATAAGTCAGGGATCTGAGGCTGTGCCCAGCCTGGTTTTAGGAGGACTTCGCTTCTCCAGAACTCTGCTGGGTATCTTATGTAGGGTCTCAAGAGGAAAACAAACGGCTCACTTAAACAGGTTAAGACCCGCAGCACTCGCTTTGGCGGCACATATACTAAAACTGGAATGATACAGAGAGGATTATCATGACCCCACACAAGGATGACATGTAAATTCATGAAGTGGTCCATAGTTTTAAAGATCCAAAAGAAGGAACCCTCCCAAATCCATCTTATGAAGCCTCCATCACCTTCATCCCCAAAACAGACAAGGACATGACAAAAAAGGGAAACTACAGACCAATATTGCTGATGAATACAGATGCAAAACTTCTCAAAAAGATATAGTAAATAGCATCCAATGATACATAAAAATGACTATATACCATGACCAGGTAGGCTTTATTCCAAGGATGCAGGGTGGTTCAACATACACAAAACCATAGACATAACACACCATATTAACAGAAAGAAAGGTAAAAATCATTTGATCGGATGAATTGATGCAGAAAAGGCATTTGAAAAAAATACAACATCCTTTTATGATTAAGACTCTCAGCAAAATCAACATAGAAGGGACATTTCTCAACACAATAAAAGCCATATGTGAAAAACTCATAGCTAACACTGAAAGGTGGAAACAGATGAGGATGCCCACTTTCTCCATTCCTTTTCACTATAGTACCGGAAGTCCTGGCCAATGCAATCAGAAAGGAGAATAAAATAAAAGGCATTCAAACAGGGAAAGCAGTAAAATTATTTTATTTGCAGATGACATGATTATATACATAAGGGGAGAAGAAAACTTCTTGAGCAAATGGTGCTGGAAAAACTGGGTAACCACCTGCAGAAAGATGAATCTGAGCCCCCTATCTGTCACCATTAACAAAAAATCAACTCAAAATGGATCAAAGATCTAAACCTAACACCTCAAACTATGAAACTACTGGTGGAAAACACACGGGAAACTTAGAGTATTGAAGTAGGCAAAGACTTCTTGAACAAGATCCCCAAAGCACAGACAATAATCCCTAAAATAGACAAGTGGGTTTACATCAGATTAAAAAGCTTCTGCACACCAAAAGGAATAATAGAGTGAATTGAAGACTCTCAGAATGAGAGAATGAGAGAATAAATTTGCAAACTATGCCTCAGATAAGAGATTGATAAGTAGGACATATAGGGAACTTAAGCAACTTATCCCCCCCCAAAAAAAAATGATCAACTCAATTAAAATGTGGGCTAATAACAACTGTTTAAGAAAAATATACAAATGGCCAAAAAGCATATGAAAAATGCTCAACATCTCTTATCATAAGAGAGATGCAAATCAAAACTACAATGAGATACTACCTAACCCTAGTGAATGGCTAAGATTACAAAAATAATGATAAGTGCTGGCAAGGCTGTGGTGAAAAGGAAACTCTCCTACACTGTTGGTGGGAATGTAAATTAGTACAGCCACTGTGGAGAATAATATGGAGGTTCCTCAAAACTGTACAAATAGAACTACCATATGATCCAGCAATTCCACTCCTGGGTATCTACCTACCCAAAGGATAAGAAAATGCTCTGTCAGAAAAATACTTGCACATCCATGTTTATTGCAGCATTATTCACAATCGCTAAGATATGGAACCAACCCAAATGTCCATGAACAGATGAATGGATTGAAAAAATGTGGAACATATACATTAAAGAATGCTACTCAGGAAAGGGAACAGGCCTTCTTCAAGTCACAACTTTAGAGGCTGCAGGCCCGACCCTTCCAAATCTCCACGCATCCCCCCCATTCCTCCTCCTTGGACCCCAGGTTGGTCGTCTGGGACTTTAAGGCGAACCCCCACCCCTCCCCACCCACAATCCGGATTGAGCCGGCCAGCAGTTCCGGACACCAGGCGGACTGAGGCTGCAGGCCCGA